TGCGTGTCGAAACGCTACCTGGACGAAGGGGAGAAGGTAACGCCGTTAACAGAGTCATCTTAGGACTGCTGGATGCTGGCAGGAGGGGAGAGAGACGACAAACAAGAAGTAATGGTACCCAAGGTGTATATTACCTTCATGGAGCTCTCCGCTAGTTAGCAATCCCAATCCTTACAGCAGTTTCTTCGTAGAAAGTGAGTAACGGGATGGAAAGTATAGGAAATCTTCATCATGGTCAAAACAGTATTTATTTACTTTCAAAGATTGTACTTCAAAAATGATACAACTGATTTGTTGTCACAAAACCTGTTGTCCAGTTTGCTGTACATTTTATCATTGACATAACAGGATGTCAGCACTGAAATCAATATGAACTTTTTGATTCACATCCTCACGCTCGAGTTCTTCGTAATAAAGTCCTGCAAAGGCGCGCTCATAAGTTCTTGGGAGACTATCAAAGTCCAACACAGATATCTGAACGCCTGCATTATTATCTTTCGGCCAAAACGGAGTAGGGATAACGAAATCCGTACGATCAAGAGATGTTAATGTCCCCTTACTTTGGTGCACTGCATCCAGCAAATATCTACTAACCGGTGCACTAGAATATAACGAAATGTTTCCGTTGGACAAGTCAAAAAATAAAAACACACGTTCACCAGAAGGGCCAAAATTTGTAGAATTCAGTACAGGAGCGAAATTTTTATAAGTGTTGTGAATTTTTCGAAGATCCCCCCCGATGAAAAAGTTGTGACGGATATTCTCAGATGTGCAATGCGTGACGCTGGAGCTGGACTCGGTGAGTGCACCTGGAAACAAAACGGAAATGATTCAGAGAATGTTCGGAAAATCCAAAAGACGAGCCGGACACTTCGAGCGTTAATTTGCACTGTGAAAAATATCCTCTGGATATGTAGGGCAAGACAAAATGCTGACTCACGTGTTTTGAAAAATAAAAATCTGAATTTTAACAAAGATTTAAGTTTTAGGGACATAAGATATCATCTATTAAGGGCAGGGGCAGCAGAATTTCGGAATACCTCATATCGATAGAATTGGTTTCAGCCACATATCACGATTCTGGTAATATTTTTTAAAATTAAAGGATTTATGCTGGATTTTCAGTTTTCATAGAAACGCCCATAATTTGATAACCCAAAAATGAATATGTTTTTTCATCCGAGCACTGCATTACTAAATCAAGTGTGCAACTGCTTAACACTTGTAAATGTGCAACTGGAAGTTGAATACTTGCAAGCGTGTAGCTTCATAGTTGTTCACTTGCAAGTGTTCAATTTGGTAAGGTGTGCCCTTGCAAGTGTGTAACTCCTCAGTTGAGCACTTCCTACACAGAGAGCATCTCAACTGAGTAGTTGCACACTTGCATTTTCACGCACGCTAAAAAGAGGCATAGGAAAAAACAATGGAGATTGAAAACGTAACAGTGCAAAAAAATTGCTCTGTCCGATGACTAATTTAAAGCACTTTTACTTTTAGAAATTGGATAATATTTTCTGATCCAGCAGAGCAAATTTGACTAAAGGGTTCAGGCGGTTGCAAGTGCAAATTTAGCCCAGTTGTTCACAAACAAATGTGAAATGTTGTTCAGCAGCAACAAATGTTGTTTCACTTTTTGGACCTTTTCGCCATAACAGCACCATGCAAAGTTTTAAGCGCTCTGCGGGATCGGAAAATATTATCCGATTTCAAAAAATAAAAATTCGTTAAATTTGTTATCGGACAGACCTATTTTTACGCACTATTACGTTTGAAATATTTCCAAAAATCCTTTTTCCTACGCCCAACTCTAGTGCTCACCTTCAAGCTGAACTCTTACAAGCGCTAAGCAGTTCTCTGAAAACTCAACAGTGTACATTGTATGCTGAAAAATCAGCATACATTGTACACTGTTGAGTTTTCAAAACAATCATCACCCGAATCGCACATGTGTACGTTACCTGCACAGCACCATAGTGCGAAGACCAGGAATAGAAGATGCCGTGTCGCCAGCATCGTGTCAATCAGGGAAACTCGGCGTGCCGTCTTCTTCTACTATGCAAGTCGTTCAGCAGCCCGCTGAAACCGAACGTAAGCGCTGCTGACCTCGAACTGAGGCCGAAATGAACGCATCGGTAATAACAGCATGCGTGGGGGTGGAGAACGCCACCGGTACACCACTGTCGGCTTATCGCCAGACCACGGGAGGGTTGGGGGTCTGCTTGCGGAGCGCTTGAGTCAAGAAACAACAACCCGCGCACTTTATTTGCCCCTCATGTCATTCCACTGGACAAACGAAAACTTGCGTCACTTCTGGCTAAAGTATTATTTTTTTTCGATTTTTTATTCAACGTCAAAGCTCTCACCTAATCCAGATTTTGAGCTCCATTTTCATATGTTTGAATTGCGCTTAATCCAGAATGAACGAGTTCATAGCGTTATGATAACTCTTGTGTCTTTCGGTATCACGGGGAACGCTGTGGAAATAAGGCGGGAATTATAAAAGAACGCGCGCCCACTTGCTGCAGCAAGCAGTTTTGACCCCGGCTGGAGGGAGCGGCGCACGAGAGAGCGCGTGGGAGAGCGCTTTCGAATGGAGCAATAACCCCCTGTTGCCGCCTCCACCCCTCACCCCCATCTCCCTGCGCTGCCAAAGGGCTAATGGCGCAAAAACCTGGGCCGGCGGCGGCGACGCCGATCAGACGCCGCCGGAGGGGTCGGGAGGGGCGCGAGTCTCGGGCGTCAAATGTCTCGGAAGTAACTAACTGGCGTTCGAGCGGCTCGGCGCGCAGGAGGGGCCCTGCCAAGTAAGTGGACCCGGAAGTGGCGAGAGTGGCGCCGGAAAAACGGAAACAAAAAAAGGGGATAGGAAGGGAGTCCGCATTGGAATAAAAACAATAATAACAAAGGAATGTCGTCGAAATGACGGCGACGGCGAAAACGATGGCCGTGAAAGTAGTGGTGGGTAGTGGGGTGGGGGACAGACGGGGCAAGACAACGGCACTAGCTTCACTTGAGATAGTCGTTAAGGAGCGGAAGTAAGTCGTCGCTGAGCCGCAAACAACTCTCAGTCACAGTGAGCGCTCACCTAAACGCCACCGCCCCGCCCCGCCCCGCCCCTGGGCCGAGCCACCACCACCGGCACGGCCAGGCACTGCTCGGGGGAGAGAGGCACAAGCGCTTTGGAGCTACTCCAGAAACATGTCGGAAGTTCGGGGATCAGTCGCGCCGGTCGGGGGGAGAGAAAGTGGAATTGAGGGGGGAGGAGGAGGGAGGGAAGAGCGGTCGGCCGGGGGGCCTCAAAAGTTGCGAAGGGGAGGCGCGGTATTGGAGGGGAGGGGTGGGGGGGGGGGAGGTGCAAGTAGTTTGTTTACCTCACGCGGCGCGCCACAAGCCTGCGGGAAATGGGGGATGAGGCCCCCCTGAGAGAGCAGAGAGAGCAGAGAGAGCAGAGAGAGCAGAGAGAGCAGAGAGAGAGAGAGAAATAACGAAGACGTCTCCGATCCCGGTGTGTGCTGACCCCGCAGCGCCGCCACGGCGGCGGCCCCAATACCCTCGACAAATATTGGCGTTATGTGACCACCTCGTCAAGAAACTACCCCCCGCTCTCCCCCCCTCTCCCCGTCCCCAGTCTGCGGGCGAGTAATTCTGGTGCTTGTTTCTTTATGGGTTTTTTCCATCCCATATCACTGTCAAAAATATGTTCGTACATCTACGATACATATTTTGTAATTTACCAATTACAAAATGTCGTACGTGTACAACCTCCCACTCTTGCTCGTCATTCGCTTCCAAGTCGATATGCCGTACTTGTAAATTTTAATTCTGATAGTATCCGTGCGACATCTTCCATGGAAAATTTTCCTGTACCATGTACAACAATATTTCACAGTGATGTATACGATATATATATTTCCTACAAAATCGAAGGATTCTTCCAGAAGGGCACGTGTAACGTCAGGCTCAAATAAAACATACATTCTAAAAGAAGAAAAAACCACTAAAATTTCAATACGAATGTAATTAATGTATATAGGAAACCGTGTCACCAAAGCAAAGTCGCAGGCAAAGTCTCTCGTCCTGTAACGTTCTTGTGTGTGTGTGTGTTTCAGGTGCGTGTGCGGTGCGGTGAACACAACACCGGACGGAGGGGGCTCGCGGGTAAATACAGGCGCAGCATCTTAAACCGAGGCGGTTTTATTGTCCTGCAACGACAACAACTCGCGGGTGGAAAGGAAGAGGTCGAGGAGAACGAGGACAACGATAGCCTCCAACAAACGAGGGATGAAAAATTCAGCCAGTTGGACCCGCGGTGAGTGGGGCGCAGGGCTCACGAGTTCGTGGAGTCCCATCGCCGCCGTCGCTGCTGCTGCTGGGGCCTGCGCCCGCCGGGCGAGGTGGACGCCGCCGCGGTGGAGCAGGCCTTCTTGGCCGTGGCCGTGCCCGCCAGGTCTCGGAGCCGCGAGGAGATCTCGGACGCGCGACGCGCCAGGCGGATGAGGAGATCCGCCAGCATCCTGCTCTCCTCGGCCGCGCTCAGGGCGGGGGCGCGCTGCTGGGGCGGCCTCTCCTGGGGCGGCCTCCCCTGGGACGGCCTCGCCTGGGCCTGCTGAACGTTGATCTTGATCTTGACCCTGCCGGGGCTGGCGGCGTTCGGCATGTTGACCCGGTGCGCGGCGATGTTCTCCCAGGCCTTCCTGAGCTCCTCCTCCACCGAGACGGACTTGGGGGCGCGCGCGACGCCACCTGCGGAGGGTGGAGTCTGACGACGGCCACCCGCAGACTGTTGGCGCCCAGCCGTGGACCTCGTGTTGGGTTGACGGCCACCTGACGGCTCGGACGGTTCCCATCTTGAGGTGGATGTCCTGCCGGTCGATGTGTCTGGTGCGCGCTGCCCGGACTCCCTGGAGACCTGACGGCCTGCTGTCGACCCCGGCCAGGGCTGCTGGCCAGCTGATGGCTCGGAGGGTGCCCGCACAGAGTTTGATGCCTTGCCGGCTGACGCGTCCGGTGCGCGTGCGCGCTGCCTGGACTCCTTGGAAGCCTGGCGGCGTGCAGTCGACCTCGCGTTCGGCTGACGGCTGGCTGACGAGTTCGGTGAGGAGGCAGGCTTGTTGCTAGTCGACGTCCCCGCGGCAGGCCACGCCCTGCCCTTGGAAGGTTGACGGCGTCCTGCTGCCGACTCTGGGGCGGCCCACCTGGAGGCCGACGGCTTGCTGCCGGGTGGCGGCGTCTCCCGCGACTCGCTCTTGCGTGGACTCCTGGGGGCCGTGGCGATGATGTCCTCGGTGCGGTACGGCGGCAGCAGGATGCCGCCACGGGTCACGTGGCCCTCCTCGTCCTGGAGGAAGGGGTCCTGCCAACGCGGCGCCGGGGAAGGCGTCGACGGGGACGCAGCGGGGCGCGGCGGCCGGTACTGAAACGGGGCGTCCTCCGGGGTGTCGTCGACGGGCAGGTGCGGCCGGCCGGCGATGCCATCCGGGCGCGGGTCGACGAGCAGGTGCGGCCGGCCGGCGATGCCACCCCAGGAGGAGGCCGCGGGGGCGGCGGGTGCGACCCTCGGGAGGGTCGACCAGCTGGTCCGCGGCCGGGGCAGGCGCGCGGGCCGTACCAGGCCGGCGGCGGGGGCGCGGCGCGGCACTCGCCTGTGGGGCAGCATGAAGCAACTACATGAGCAGGCGAGAAAGACACGGCCCCGGCCACACATCACATCATACCTCGGACAGACTAGAGGCCTGCAACGAGTGAGCTAAGCGAGCAACGCGCTAGAGCCGCGCGCTGCGAGTTGGTTGTATTTTGCTCGTAGACCGCGCGATTTCCTTGCTCGGCTCTGCTCGGCTCCCGCGAGCTACTTAGGTCGTGGCCGTGGCGCTGCAGACGCAGGCGGCGGCGAGCACTGGAACCTGCATTCTGCAGCAGCGGGCCGGGCCGCCAGGCCTACGAGCAAATTTGCTCGCACGAGGTGGACATAACTCACGCGTTGCAGGTCTCTAGGACAGACCCCCCAGTCGTCACTGCACTATGCGCGGCCGAGAGTGCCGGCTGACTTCTAGCACCCACTCAGCATCCCCCCCCCCCC